CTGCTGCCCCGCCTGCCCTCGCCACTTCCGCCGTGTGCGATCCCCCCCCACCCGCTGCCCCGCCTGCCCTCACCCCTCCCGCCGCCTGTGATGGCCCGCCCGACAAGGCCACGTCTGCAACCGTCCTCGAGCATGGTGTCAGCGGTATCCGTAAGCGAACCACGCCCTCTTGCGCGTCGGTTGGTGGAGTCATACGTGGCAGTGGCGCGCGATTTCCCCCGCCCTCTCTGGCTGCCGTCGCGGCGTCAACGTCGACGACGTCTTCCGGTGCTGGCCTCCCTCCTGCCCGCCGTCTTTCGCCAGCGTCGTCTATGTGGATGTCGCCACTCCCCCGCCTGGACGACTTCCGCTTCAACGGCATGTCGTTAGAGTCTTCGAAATCCGTCCCCTCCTGCGTCGCCACGTCCTCCGGCACCCACTCTTCATCCAACACGTAACCTCCATGTGCCGGGGTGCCTTCGAGGATCTTCCTCTCCTTGATGGCCATGTGGCGGCCCTTCTTCTCCCGGGTCGGCGGTTGTTGTGAGAGGTTGGCGGCGGCCTTGCCGCGTGTGGAAGCGCGTGAGGACATGGCGCAACACGCACCCGCGGTGACGATGACAAGCTGGACGACGAGGGCGAGGATCTACGGAAAGGCGACGGTGGCCTTGAAGACGACGGGCGAAAAGACTTGCTCGCCGAGGAGAATGTCGCCGAAGATGACTGCAAAGAAGACGCAAGCAGTGAAGATAAGTACGTTGGCGACGGACGCGGCGACGATGGCGATGACGGCGACGATGTTGAACAAAAGGGCTCGAGGGCGACGATGGCGAAGATGGCGCGGATGCAGGCTACGAAGGCGTCTCGAGTGGCGCAGACGCCTGCGACCAAAAGCAGAACAAGCGCGGCGGGCGGCGGGGACTGCTTGAGGTAGAGAGAGAGAGAGTGCTGTCGTGTATTTGCGCAGAACGCCCGCGTCCTTATAAACACGTGTCACGCGGGGTGGACGGCAACACAGACGCAGCGCGAAGGCCAGTTGAGGGTCATTTCCAAGCTCCACCAAAAGACAAGAAAAACGCAGGGTCATCGAGGTGGGCGAGACGAAAGGCGAAGGGTCGCGGGCAACGCGGCCGTGCATCCGTTGCGCCACCGCCCTTCGTCCCGCCTCCCTATCGTGGATTGTGGACACGGAGGGACCCCACAGGCCAAAATTATACCCTCACAAACGACTCCACCCCACTCTACCATCGTCCACACTCCATGCCAGCCATGAACGAGGACCGAACTCGCCTCCTACCCCTGCCCGCATTCC